TTTTTTTCCCCAAGTTCATGTAAAATATGGTTCACCTGTTAAAATAATAAAATATTTATTAGTTGTTTTGTAACAGAACAGTACCTGCTTTAAAGAAAATATAGGAAAGAGAAAATTGAAATAACAGTTGTACACTGTATATGGAAAACAGAATAAAATCTTTCTAAGCATTCCTACTACGTACTGTTATCATAATTTCGGATTAACTGATGAGATAATATGAAGTTTTTCTATATGTTAAAAACTGTGATTTCTGAAGAAGTCTTTCTGTATGTGTGAAATGAAGTCTTGCTGTATGTGTGAAACTGAGTTTATCAGAAAATGTGATTTCCGAGACTCTGAGAAAATGTGAAAGCAACGTGTGAAAAAAATCGAATAAATTCAATATAAATGTACATTACATACCTTGATATACGGAACAATAAGTCAATATCATTTCATATTCCAGGCAACACTATCAGTGTTTATTCAGTCGCATTTGAGGCCGAACAGCATCTGATATATACGAGGGTTGCCAAAGCGAACAAAACAATGTCACAAATTTGAGTGCCATACTCCGACAAATTGATACAATATAATGATGAATGTTGCACAGTTTTGTGTACATGTGTGTTCACAGCTTATATCTGAAGTATTTTTCGTAAAAGTTGTTAAAACTTTGAGAATAAATCCATAAACTATCAACAAAACATGTATATTTTCAAGCAAGAAAATCGTAAGCGCCAGCGCTAATTGTAGTCAGCAACATAACGTTGTCGTTACTGCGCATGCGATAAATCTCCGAGAATCTTGGAGATTTCATCGTATTTTACCAGGGTCTTCCTCAGCTCACGCGCCACCACGAGGAAGACCCTGGGGACGAGGTTGGGTCAGTGAACTCTAATAATAGTGAGCTTAAGCAAATGACGTTTTTGACAACACGAACGTCGACCGGAAGTAAAATTGACGTTTTTCACCAATCACAGCCCTTGACCCAGTCTTCTGACGTTACTCATGCCGTTCGTGTTATCAAAAACGTCTCTTGCTTAAGCTCACTAATAACTGGAAGGCTAACTCCTATGATGAAAGTCTATGATTCGTTGAAGCCGGCGCGCGGGAAAATCAGCTTTCAAAAGGACTAAGGAGAGTTTCGAGGAGTGAAAAAAATTCTGTCAAAAGTTTGTTTTCGAGCAAAAATGTGCAAGAAAAACACTTTTCCCATGGGAATACAACAATGACTTGGGATTTAAACCAAGTTTCCGATTAGTTCCGACTGTTTTACATCTCTCTGCAGCAAAAAGTAAGGAATTTTGCTTTTGTATTTTGAAAAAATGACGAAAGTTTGGACGTGCCGAAGGAAATCTCGCCGTTCAACTCAAAAATATATACTATAAAACATTTTGACAGTCCCAAAACTTATGTTGTACTAAGCCCCAGGTATTGTTGTTGATCCTGAGCTTTTAGTCCTTGTTTTAGTCGCTCTTAAACATAAATAAATTGGCGTTTTTCAAGTGATGTTATTTTCGTCATCGGCATCTTGTTGGACACTATGAGCACTTTGAATATGGCAATATTTTTGTCAATTTTCAAATGCTTTTTTTTCGACCTTAAAACGTTCAATCTTCTTGAAACTTCGCATACAGATGTATTTTGCATGGGTTTAAATAATTCCTGAGGTATGACGTCTTAGTTTTATCTTAAACTTCCAAAAACTCAGAAAAAGCAGCCTAAAACGCGCGGTTTTTCTGACCGTTCATGCTTATGGCCGTGTTTTTTCGTATTTTTTTGCTAATACGTGATTTGTTTGCTTTGCGAATATTAAATTCATTTATAATATTTGGGGCAAGATTTTTCTGATCGAAAAATGTGCATATTTTGAAAAAAAAATGTAAAAAGGACTGGGTCTACCTACAAAAAAAGCTTCAAGCACGGCTTCAACTTCCCCCCCTGACTTAGCCTTCCAGTTATTATTAGAGTTCACTGGGTTGGGTTCACTGCTGGGCATTCTGTTGTCGCTGTCTAAATATTGCGGGCGCATTTCTTTAACAAACATTTTGATTCTTCGAACGCTGAAAATATGCATTGTGAGAGGATTTTTTGTCCTCTTTTACTGGTTTGTTCATGGAAAATAAAGTGTTTCTTGAAAGATTAAGTTGTAGTGCTTGTACGCAACGATATAACGACTTAATCACATGAAAACGTGCGAAGAATTTTTATTTACAAATGGGCGACAAGTGGAAATGTTTCACTCATTGTCAGAGTTTCAGAAGCAGGGTACAGCAGTATGGAAACAAGGAAGTGTTCATATTTTGCTCTTGATAGAAGCTGAGTTGCTGTTGTTTCCACAGGTATGTTCAATAATTTGTTTGTCCTTCCTCATCTGGAATAATAAGTGTCTTAAAATACATATTTTGATGAAAAAGACACATATTCCTCTTGCAATTTCGTAGAAACTGGCCGTTGCCTTCAGTTAGAAAATATATTTTATGAAAGTTAAATCATACTTTGTTTTATTAAAACCTGAGCTATTCATGGGAAAAATGTGCTAGATGTTGTAATTGACAAATCCACTTGTGAAGTGAAAATGTCATGTTGTCATGCTTATGAAATTGCTCCTGTATTGGTTTGTTATAAAGTAAAAATTGCTGCAAAAATGCTTTTGAAAATGTTCAAGTATTGGTTGTTATGAGATAGGAAATGCCGCATTGATTTGTTCAGTTTTAAGAGTCTAACGGCAATCCTGAATATAGGCATGCTTGCTTTGTGAAATTCTGTGGTGATATGGCATATAAATAAATATATTTTAAAAGTTTTACCATTGCCTCTCTCCGAAATATGGCTTAAAACTATCCTTATTAGTCAACCTTCATGGAAAAGTTAGTGGGTATGCTGGGAAAAATGCGCGCGGCACTTTTTTGGACACTGAAGATGGTAACATTTGATGTTGTCATATATTGCCATCCTCTTATCATAGCATAACTTAACTTATTTTAGTGAGTTTGTTAAAGCATTGTGCTCACTATATGCCTGTAGTATCTAAGACTTTTTCATAGCATTATATGACAAATTTAAGTTCTGTTTTCTTTTATTTTTAGGTGATAGTATCTGTTCACTTGAGTGTTGGTATCAAATTTTGGACAAGTTTCAATTATTATTTCACATTCCTTTATTCAAATATCCAAATAAATAGAATATGACATCAAACTGGACGACTAGATTCTGTTTCCAAACTTGTTTTTGTAAAAATAGAAAATAACAACTTATTATGTGCAGGGCCTTTTTTAACATACAAGCTGGGGGGGCAAATGCCCCCCCAGTCCCCCCTTGTGCCCCCCCACGAAATCACATTTTGCCCCCCCAGGAAAAGTCCCTTTTCCCTAAAATTATAGAAACAAACCAGCGAAGATTAACAAATACATAAACGGAAAGTAAGTTTTAGGCGTTATCCTTTGTCCTTGTTTAACAAAATCGATTTAAATTGTTACTTTTTTATACCACTAAGTAATGATAGATTATTGTTAATAATTTTTTTATTTTTTGGATGCTCAGAATGCAGGAAATAGCATTTCCGGGTTTCAAATTTCAAAAATTTTCTTGGGATTATCCCTCTAATAAGTAATGATAAATGATGGTTAATTTTTTTTAACTTTTTGTGCGTTTTTTCCTTTATTTATTTCAAATACAAGTATAGTTAGCATAAATTTTGGAGCAAATTTGGATGCTCAGAATGCAGGAAATGACATTTCCGGGATTCAAATTTCAAAAATTTTCTGGGGATTATCCCTCTAATAAGTAATGATAAATGATGGTTAATTTTTTTAAATTTTTGTGCGTTTTTCCCTTTATTTATTTCAGATACAAGTATAGTTAGCATAAATTTTGGAGCAAATTTGGATGCTCAGAATGCAGGAAATGACATTTCCGGGATTCAAATTTCAAAAAATTTTCTGGGGGAATACTCCCCCAGACCACCCCCCATTCATGAGTGATATATTGGCGACACACGTAGCCTTCAGGCTTCAGCCATTGCTATCCCCTTCTAATATATTATATCACAGAAAAGTCCCTTTTCAAAAAATGCCCCCCCACGGGAAAATCCTTAAAAAAGGCCCTGATTATGTGTTGTTCTAATAAAAACTATTGTTTTTGATATGCATATTTAATTTTTAAAATTACAGTCATTCTTTGCTAAAATCAGTGGCGAAGCTAGCTTCGTGTGAGTGGTCATGCAAACGAGCGCCGAAGGCGTGAGACATCCTAGGGGGGTCCGGGAGCATGCCCCCCCGGAAAATTTTTGAAATATACACCCCAGAAATGCCATTTGCAGCAATCTGAGCATCAAATTTCAGAAAATAGCTTGATCTAATGACGGGAAAATATGTGGATATTTTGGCATATTTCAGACAACAATAATGAAGATCGACACAAAAATAGGAAATCTGTGGTCTGCAGGCCGCTAATTTATAGTCATACCGGCAATTGTGCATTTCTTTTCGATCAGAAAATATTACATACATGTTCTGTATTATCATAGTCTGTATAGACTACCTAATTGCTATCCCCTTGTAGTATTCCAACGTGAAGTCTGAAGAGTTTTCACATTTACAGAACTAGATACAATTTTATCCACATATACTAACGGGACATAATGACAAATAGCTGCTATTTAATAATACAGTCAGTATAATCTAGAATATAGGTATAATATGCAGGACGTCGACTTGGAAAATATAACGCATGAGCCTTGATCAATTACCTTAATTTAAAATCAATCACCCAATTATTACAATATTACATACAGAAATGAATTAAGCATTATCAGATGTTTGAGTAGAAGTTTTACTATCAGTTTTATAGCCGAATTCTGCATTCATATCGATTATTGGCTATTGCCAATATTGGATATTTTCGAACGCACGGGGAGTATGTACCAAATGGTAAATACAATTTAACAATATATATTGAAATTTCTTTGTTTGTTTCACAAACAAGTATATATCAAATATGTTGCTAACTCACAATCGCTAAAATGTTTGTGTTGCGTGTTGAAATGTATAAGCTTTGCAGGGCTATTTATAGAACTACATTGTTTACTACATTGACATTGACATTGTATTTCATATAATAGCGTTCGATGCTTTATACGTACGCCAATGCTCGGGTTGAAGGCTTAAATATTCAAGACAAAATACATGTAACAATAACTAAATACCAATAGGCAATAGCTTAGCTTATTTAGCCCAAGCCTGACTGGCTAAGCCATTCTTTCTTTGAATACCACGACATTTGAAGACCTTCCCGATCGGGCATGTCGAAAGATCTGGCGTTTGTCTCTGCTTATAAACAATAATATTCTGCTCAGCAGAAATGGTTTCTTCACCAATTCCCAAACAATATCGTTAGCTTCGAGTAAAGAAGAAGTCGACATGCTTGAATGACCTGAAGACGTGTTCATTCAGGCTGAAAGCTTCGAGCTAAGAGGCTGTGATCAGGTTGTGTTGCCCGTTTAGTCATGCAAATCGAAAATTGCATGACCAAGGCGTCAAAAACAGCCGCATTGCGCGTGCGCGAACGTCGTAAGCCAATCAGAAACCAACAAACCTAATATAAAATAATACAGCTAGTCATGAAATTTTGAAAGTGCATGACCAAAACACACAGCGAGCAAACCACGCAGCAATCACACGCAATCTTTTTCCACGCGCTTACGCAACCGGTCATTCATGTGAAAATATGCAGGACCGCTCAGTTGCCAAGGTAACAAAGTCAAAATCAATAACATACGAGAATATTTAGCAAGAATATCGCCTAAAGACCATTGATTTGGGTAAACAAAATAATAAATAAAATACTTAGGCGTAGAAGTACAAAGATAAAGTATAATTCTATTGTAAACAATTATACTGAACTGATTTTTAAACATTTTTGGGGAAATTTTTAGTCATGCACTGCATGACCTGCATGACCGCTGGCTTCGCCTAAAATGTGTACCAGGAATACTGAAATCTTTCAGATCAGCTACCAATTCCCTTTATAACTTATGTAGCCAAGTGTTCTATCAATTTCTGTTCAGATTAAACAAATGATGGGTAAAATATTAGTTTACATTCTTTCAAAAAAAATGAGCTTGCCTATTTTGAAAGCATAAAAAGCAATAAAATAAAGCAAAAGTACTTATTTTTAATTTAAAACCTTTGGACTGCATAGCTTAATGTTTTCCACTAAATATTACAAAGTTTTTATTCATTGAAATGTTGTTTTATCAGCTTTAAAACCAGATAAATCCACGAAGCACTCCTATAAATATGTCGCCATATTGATTTTTTCGCGCATGCTCCGTACAAAATGCCCAGCTGTTATCCAAACAACATGGTCTCTCGTTTCCTATGATGATACCGCCATTTGCAATGGACCTTTCACCTTTTGACTAAAATTTAGATCTCAACAAGTCTAGACAAAAATTTCATCACAGCTTGAAAGAGCATCACAAAATTAGTAATATTCCAAAGTTTCGTTGCGAAATGTTGTAAAATGCGGAAAATATAGCCTTGCGAAGTTTGCCGTTTTTCAGTCATTTTGTATTACGCGCGGGAAATACATACCTCCTTCGGAAAAAGGGTATGTATTTCCCGCGCGTAATACAAAATGACTGAAAATTGCAAACTTCGCAGGGCTATATTATCCGCATTTTACAACATTTCGCAACGAAACTTTGGAATATTACTAATTTTGTGATGCTCTTTCAAGCTGTGATGAAATTTTTGTCTAGACTTGTTGAGATCTAAATTTTAGTCAAAAGGTGAAAGGTCCATTGAGCGTGCACCGTGCATTTTTTTCGAGTTGTTTTAGCATTGAAATTAACATGTAACTATGGGCGGAGCGACGTGTTACTAAGGCGGCTTATTAAATTTGACCCCCCGCCAAGACTCAGAAAAACACTTTAGTTTGATCACAGAAGAGATAAATTTGATGGTTTGTTTACAGTTTATTTGTGCGAAATAATACACACCTTGTACTTTTCGCTTTACCTGAAGGTGCCAGTGCAAAATATTTTTGCTTTGGAATTAGAAATATAAACTTTTTGTCACTTTAGTATCGACTATTATGTCGGTTAATAGTGGTGTCTACTGTATATTTAATGTTGTTGATTGCATGTTACTAAGTTTGGTCGCTTTAAAACCAATTTTGTTTGTCTACTAAGTGCCCATTAGCGTAAATATTCGACGTTCCAAATTATGTTTTGACTAACCAATTTATGTTCGCTGCTAGTACAATTCTATACAAAATGATAGTTTGTTTGTCTGATCCCTGATTCATCGAAAAACTTTACGTGGTTCGGATCTTGGGCAAGCATGTAATCTATGAAGAATTGCGTATATAAAATGTTGTTTGTGAATCGTTCAGAAGCAATATGAGTTATTCGAATCGAATCGCACGGCTTATAGTAGATAAAGAAACATTTTGAGCCGCCTTAGTAACACGTCGCTCCGCCCATAGTTACATGTTAATTTCAATGCTAAAACAACTCAAAAAAATGCACGGTGCACGCTCAATTGCAAATGATGCATACAAAATGGTTTTTATACGTTTAAAGGTGCTTTAAATCGTACTATTATTAAATTATATTCAATGGCAAATACTGAAAGAGCTATGAAAGTTGTTCTAGCGAAAAGAGGGCTTGAATATTCGTTAAAAGACGAGACATTCAAATGTATCTCGGCCATAATGTAAATGGTGAAGATGTCTTGGTTGTTTTGCCAACAGGTTATGGGCTTATTATGGCAAATATTAAAATATTTCAGCTGCTACCTGACATGTACGACGTATTACTTGGCGTAACTAATTCTATCGTGATAGTAATATCTCCACATGAATGACCAAGGCATTTATGCATGCATGATGTCAAAGTATGATACAAGGCCATTCTGTGCTACACTATATTATGGTGATGGCAGCGATATCAAATTACCATTGGATCGACATGAGAACCTGACGTATAAGCTGTTCTATATGCACCCAGAAATGTGTGTCTGTGACAAGAAAATACAAGCTTTTTTGAACTGTATACTGTAAACCTCTGAATATAATGCTCACCTCATTCCAAATATAAGCCCCCCCCCGAAATATAAGCCCCCCTGAATATAAGTCCCCTGAATATAAGCCCCCTGAATATAAGCCCAGTATTCCACTATGTTATTTAACATTGACATTGTCTTTTAATATAGCAGAGAATGATATTTGAAACACTGTCATTATCTTTATAGCTTACTATGTTAATACATGTTTATTTTCCTGTTTATGACTGACTTGTTTATTACTAACACAATTGATCGTCCATGTATAAGGCCCCTGTGCATATAAGCCCCCCCCCCCTAAACCCATCAAAAATCACTTACAAAAGAATATAAGCCCAGGGCTTATAGTCAGAGGTTTAGTCAGAAGTGTTGCTTCAATAGTAGAGGCTTATAGTCAGAAGTGTTGCTCAAATATTGATTCAATACATTACCTCGGGCTGACCAATTCATTTCATCAAGTTCCTCGAGATATTCATACACTTCCTGTGAAAGAGCCAATTCCAAGTATTTGATCATTTCTGGTCCCTTCCTTTCTATTTATGATTGGTTAGTTGCACAAACAACAAAGGTGATTGGTGCATGCATTCAAACTATTCAACAGGAAGTTTACAATTATACTAGGAAATGTATGAATATCTCGAGGAACTTGATGAAATGAATTGGTCAGCCCGAGGTAATGTATTGACACTTCAATTGGAACGACAGTAACAATAAACACATTTTAACATATATACATGGATCACATATAAAGTCTTTAAATGACAGTACATTGTGTTTGTAATTATAATTACCATAATTACTTGTGTTGAAAGTAAGAAATGAAGTGAACAAATCCATATATATTTGTTGAAAATTTCTTGCAGTGGGTATCTTCCATTTGTTCTTCATGCTTCACACTGTGTATCTTTGAACATTTAATCAGCAACTAATTATAGGCAAGGATGCATTTACTATTTCATTTCTCCATAGGCCAATGGAACTGTAGATTCTGTTTACCGTCCGAGAATTTAAGGAATCTGATGCAGTTTTTTTTCATTATTCATTTTTCATTATTTTTTTTATTTTTTTATTTTCTGACCAAAAATGAACTTTAAATCGTTTTCTTTTGATCTCGACCATCAACACTTTTGTCCAGCATTCTTTTATCATTTTTGGGCTTTCCCTTGCTGAAAATTTCTTTGTTACGCTATTGTTTTCGAATTTGCACATATCAGACTCGCAAACATCTGAGTGTATACCGAACAAATGCCGACTGATCCATCATACATCAGCGATGTACGGCTTTTTATATCGAATATTTGATGATTTGATGTATATTTGAAAGTTTCGATGCGTAGAATTAAAAATAATGACAAATAATGAAAATAATTAAGAATAATGAAAAATTCTTGCGGTAGTTGCAAGCACATGCGGGCGGTGGACGGTAAACAGAATCCACAGTTCCATTGGC